ATACGTGCTGCCCTGTCTCCTCAGAGGTGCCGTGTCTGAGAAGCTCATTTTAACAGGCTCCTGAACTGTGATGTAGGGCTTATGACTGACCTGATGGTTCATTCTTGAGAAACGTTACCTTCATAAATTTTGGACTCTGTTTTCTCTGTGTTTTTTGAAAACTTGGCTTTGATTCTGGTGGAAACAGTATCTCTCATAATAAAATTGTATTTTTTAAAGACAGGAGAGGGGTACTTTACATCTATGACAGCCTTGCTCCAGAGGACTAGAAAAAAGAACCAATTTCTTCTTTTAGTTCCTGAAGTTTGGTTTTGTTTTGTTGTTTTTTTTTTTTTTTTTCTCTCTTACTCTCCTTTTTGTAAAGATCCTGCTTATGGGGGTCTTCACTTACTGGTCCAGAATAGCTCTTTTCCAGCAAGGAGCAACAGCTCTGCAAAGGGCTTGGTTTCCTATGAACAGCAGGTCACCTTTGTAAGCATGGTTTTTGTGTTATCAAATTAATTTAAAATATTCAATACCAAGTTTCAGAGAGATAAGTACTCCAGCATAGGCTAGCAAGTCACTTCTTGCAGCTATTAGAGCTACTCAGCAAGGATGATTTCCCTAACCAATAGGCTCATAGGTATTTTATTTTTAGTCTCTTTTTTAGAAACTAAGTTGTGAACTTCAGGAGACAGAGTCTAGTTTGGACCGTTCCTAAAAATAGATCTCCAGTGACTGTGGTCTCCACTAAGAGCAATTATCAAATACTTTATTACCAAGAGTATAAGCAGTGCTGCTGGAAAGGACCTCAGAAGGCAGCATTGTCTGGCTCAAAACAATTCCTCTCCGGTGCTCTTCTGGTGCAGGTTATCATGTGCACAGACACAAGAATTAACCTAAGAATCCCAAGTCCTGCAGCATTTACCTACTTGGTGATAACAAAGCATGCACCACCAGCAACGTCTCCCAGTTCTTGCTGTTCTGAAATTAGAATTGTGTTAGGCACCAAACATAGAAACAAACCAAAAAGAGAGAAAGACACTCCCCCCCCCCCCAGCTTTTTAATTGAATAATAGTTTTGCCTGTGTATCTAAATTCATAATAGGTTTGAGAACCAATATTCCATGTATCTTGTTCGGGTGTTTATAACTGCAAATATTAATGTCCTGTTTCACCCAGTATCTTGGTGACACTTGGTGATAATATACATGGTGATGCTGGTATCTTGGTAGGCTTATTCTCGACAAACATGTCTTCCCTGTAACAAAGACTGAGGGCAAAGATGTATAAATAATACTTGTAACCCTTCTCAAGATTTCAAGACGTTCTGAAAGCATTAACTGAAGTTTTATGTCACCTCTATCAGATAACTTTACCCATACCCTAAAATAGGGGCATTCTGAAGCTGAGTCTCTTACTTTCGTATAGAAAGTGTACTCAATAATACAGCCCAAATTTACATATTCCTAACTTTCGACTTTATTCATGGGGCAGCACTTTGTTCACCCATTGCTTTAGCCAAAAGAATCATTTTGACCCCATTGTTGACCCTCCTCTGATCTTCCCAATAGGCAACGTTCCTGCTTCAGAGCGATCTCATCTCAACGCTTGTCTCAGTAACCCCGTGATGAAACTGGCTGCTCCAGCTTCCCTTCCAAGCTCCTCAGACAAGCAACAGGTTCCCCACCACTACACTGGCTCTCCCCGGAGCAAGGCGACACAGGGACACTGGGTACCCTTGCACTTCACCATGGCAGCAGCACCTCTAACGTCCCTTTATTCAAGTAAGAGGCCTCCTTGCCTCTGCCCTGCTGGACTCGGTGGCAATCGCAATAGGTCCCATTCAGCGGCAATTAGCTGAGGTCCCCGGAATTGTAAAGAGGACAAATTAACCTCACTGTCTACAGTATGCTATCAACACAATATACGATTTTCACTTGCTGCATACTTCAGGAAGGGAAGCACCTGCTTTATTCTGTCCCAGTGACCTAGGCAGGGTAGAAAAATTTGCCTAGAAACAGGATGCTTTCAACTAAGCTACATCATTACGGAAAACACATTTTACCTCAGCCTCTTAAAACGAAGGCTGAAATGGGTCGGGTATCACCAACGATGACCTTTTAGTACTCTTTTGCTACACAAACAGCATAAAGACTGAATTCAAGGGACTGATTTTGCAGGAAACCATTAACTGATATTACAGCTTCAGACTAGAACGTGTGTTAGTCTAGATTTTTTTCTAAAAAGCAATATAAAAAGGACTTGCAACTTAGAAAAACCCAAACAATCAAAGCAGATGAAAACCTTGGCCTATATCTAATCATCTGCAAGCGAAGCTCAGTTAGCTGTTTCAAATAGTATCAGATAACAAAAAACATTCGTAAAACACACACAACATCCTCCCTCCGCATAATAAAGGAGTAAAACACTGGTGTAGGCAACCTTTGCAACACATACAATCAACAGCAGTTTTTAGGTATGTCAGGAGCTGGTACACGGACACCAGATTTGTGCACACCAGTGGGAAGGTGAACGTGCCCCAGCAGAAGCCATCGCCTGGGCTCCGCTTCCCTCCTCCAGCTCACCTGGTCCTGGTCTTCCCTCGCTTCCTTGCCCGAAGGCAAAGTCTCCACAATTTCACATTAATAACTATCAGGACCAGATACAGAACTCGAGTACTTGAGATCAGACATTGTGAGTTGGAGAACCAGAAATTAAATTTCGGTATTACCAAGACAGGCATGAAATCTGAAAGGGCTTTCGTACAACCAAGCTTTGACCTTGAACAAGGAAGACTGTTGCCTCAGCCTAAGTAAATAAACCTAAAAGAAGTAAATCTCTAGAGCCTTTAGTCAGGCAAAATTAGGTTCCAGTGTAAGTTTTACCTAAAAATATAACATTGTTTCAGCACAACAGAAGTTACCTTGTTCATAGCAGTAATAACATTCTGCTTAAAAAGGACCACAGCAATCCACAAGATAGGAAAATCAGCTTGAAATCACACATTTTAAAGTCACATGCATTCCAATTCTGAGAGAATTTGTTGAAATTACAACAATTATGGTGAGCATTTTCACCAAGGCAACCAATGCAGTAAAAAAAAAAAAAAGATATAAAGCTTTCTCAGTAAGATTAACCATCTCACCAGTCACTAACACCCAGCCCCTTCATTTGCCTTCTACACAAATAAGGATATACTACAATTGCGTGGGAGTGACCACTCAGTCCCTCGAGGACTGAGGGAGGAGGGATGCTCTTTCAAAATTCTTCGGCAGGAGGAAGTAGCTCAAAACTCCTCCATTTCCACTATTCCAAGGCCCTTCTGATTCCCACCTTCTTAAACGCGTGGTGGAAAACTGCTATCATCGAATCTCACGCGACCGCAACTGGTCTTCTTAAGATGTATTTTTGAAACTCTACTGGTGTAGACTTGGCGTTAAGACTTGGAAAGAAATTTCAAGTCAAGCCAAGCCGTGGAATGACAAAGCCCCAGGCCAGGAGCCCGGCCGCTGGGGCAGGAGCCATTCTGCACCCCAGGAACTGGAAGCGCTGCAGAAAATGCCACCAGCCCAGAGAGGAAAGAACATGAAAGTCTGAGGAGAGCAGGCTGAGAAAAATTTGAATAAGAACTTTACTAGCGATTTTTTTCTTCATATGTACACATACAATTTGACAAAGTCAAAAAAAAAAAAAAAAGAAGAAATTCAGACTTCTCTTTAAGAATCCTTGGATTTAAATATATATATATTTATTAAAAAGAGACATTGACTCTATGGCCAAGACATCATGCGTCTCAGAACAGGTTTTTACAGCCATGTTATAAAAACCCCTTAGCAAAGCAGTTATGCACTAGACTTCAAACACATGTACTCCAAGAATGACACTGGTGTGGAGGATCTTGTTTTACATCCATTTATTTTTGTCCCTCAGCAATTATAGCATAGTTTCAATACATTTCTAAAGCTATAGAGAAATACCAGGGCAACTAGAGTACATACAAGCCAAAGTTAAAATGGTAGACAGCTGAATTAAAAAAAAAAACGAAAAAAAAAAAAACCAAAACAAACAAACAAAAAAAAGGTACGCATTCAGCAGGAAATCTACTATACTTCATTCAGTTTAGGCTTTGTTCTTTAGGGAACAAGGTGCTAACGTGCCATTTTCTCATAAAATGAATCATAATTGCTTCCAAAGAGTTTCTGCTGAAAATTTAGGTGGAAGCAAATAAGTGTAACACTAAACTTTCTCCTATAAACTTAGAAGCAACACTTTCTTGAATCAATTTCCACCCTCCAAATACCACTGCTGCTTTTCTTGCGTGAGCCCACTGTTTTATTAAGGCATAATATGCCCTGAGCAATATGCTGGAAATTAGCCAAAAAGCCTAACAATTAAAGGCAAGCACCAAGTGATTATTTTTTATAGACAAATTTTGAAATCTGGTTTGTAACTCACCTGTACGTGGGAATAGCACTTGAGGAAAAAAAGAAAATATTGCTTTTAATCACTTTGAGCAAAATGGCAGTGTTAATTCCCCCTTTCTCCCCCCAGGCCCAAGTTTTCCAGTTTATCATCTAGGTACCTAAGTAGGACCAACATACCAAGACGTAAGTGGGACATCCGTTCAAGAGCTTAATTTTTAAGCAACTCAGCGTAAAAATTTCAGCGCCCCACCCTAAGCAATTCAAATTAAATCTTCTTTTCCTCAAGAGGCAAGACTCTCATATGCTGGATACCTCTGGTCTTAAAAGCAAGATGGAGCCTGGACAGGAGAACCGTACACACTCAGACTGCCTTCCAGTCTTCTTTTTAAAGCCAGAAAAGCCTACCAATGACCAGGTGCAGTGCCCAATTTCTCTAAAAGATTCACAGTTATTACAGTGTCCAGGATCCAGGAAGGTAGTTCTCAAAGCTAGAGTGCTAACAGCACTACAAGACTTTCTCTATACAAATTTAGGCAATGCTGGCTCGTCCCTTTAAGCCACCAGAGTATCCATAAAAGAAAGACAACCAAATTATACATTTTATTCACATTTATTTTTCGCTTTTAGTGTGCTCACAGAAAATTAGAACACCTTAAGCAGGAGTTTAATAGCAATTTTTGTAAGCAAAGTTACATTCCATCTCTAAGTCAAATTGGTCAAAGCTTCTCCAGTATTTACAAAAAACATGATAGACAAGATGCTACACAAAAAAACCATTGCATCTGAAGAGTTTTCCTTTATTTTCAAAGACAACTGGAAAAGAAAGCATTGTCTGCTGTAATCAAAAACATACCACAGTATAAACAGTAACCATTCCACTTATCACAGCTTGGTTGAGTTTAAAATTTGTGTTTAAAAGGTCCAAGATGACTGCAGTTTTACAAAAATGGGCAGGGTGGAAAGAGTTGCAAACTTCATGTGCTTCTGGATATCAAGATTTGTTTTTTTTTTTTTTTTTATACAATAGTCACAGTTAAAAACACCCTGCTGGTAATACATAATTACACTTTATTAAGGTCATAAACCAGCAATAAACAATAAAGCCTATACAACTTGTATTTCTACTTAATCACTGACTGATACAGCTAACATGAGATAAGTGAAAAGTTCCTATGGTTTAAATGAATTCCTAAGACTATGATCTCTTTATCTGGGTATTGATTTTTTATTTTTATTTTTTTTTTCCTTTTTCCTTTCCTTCTTAATCAAGACTTGTAGTGTTGTAAACCTTATAGAACATCTGCCTCACAAAATACATCGTAATAACTTTCTTTTAAAAAAAAGACTAACCCCTTAACATCATTTCTGGCGGGGCGCGCTCCCGGCAAGGGCTGCGCACCCACGGGTTCCCCACTGCGGCCCCTGTCACTTCATTTGATATCCCTTATTGACCCACCCATCTCCTTCATATATGGGCATGTCCATAGACCGATCGGGAAAAGTTTTTTTAGAATATGAAGAGTTGCAAAGTATGGAAAAAAATAATAAAAAAAAAACAAAAACGAAAAAAATAATATAAAAAAGAATAAAAACGAAAAAACCCGAACCAACCAAAACAAAACATTAATACTGATGAAAAAAAAAAACTAAAGGAGAAAAAAATTCAAAATATAGAGGGTAGGAGAGGGGGGCGGAGGGGGTCCCCCCCCCGCCCGTTGGAATGGCGGCAACAACACACAGCGATCTGAGACGGGAGCTTTGAGGAGGGGGCGAGGAGTGGGAAGAAGAGGAAAAAAAAAAAAACAAAACGAAAAAAGAGGAAAAAAAAGAAAAGAAAAAAAAAAGACATCTTTTAAAATCAATCCCTGGTTGTAGACAAGTTCTCCGAGACCAGTACCTGGCACCACTCCAACAAACAAACAGGGGGGGAAGAAAAAAGTCCGTCGGCGAGGGGCGAGCGGAGCGGTGCTTTACTCCGCCGACTCGGCGGCGGGTCCCTCCGCGCTGCTCTCGGAGGGGGGCTCCGGCCGCCCCGCCGCCTCCTCCGCGGGGGCCGCCTCCTGCTCGCCGCTGCCCGCCTCGCTCGTAGCGGCGCCGGCCGCCGCCTCCTCCGCCGCCTTCGCCTTCCCCTCCGCTGCCTGCTGCTGCTGCGGCTGCTGCTCCTCAGCCGCCGCCGCCGGGGCCTCTTCTCCCGCCGCCTTCTCGGGGGCGGCCTCGTCCGATTTGGCCTCCTGCGAGTCCCCCGCCTCCTCCTTGGCCGCCTCGGCGCTGCCGGCGGCGGCCGCGCAGGCCTCCTCGGCGGCGGCTTTGCCCTCCTCGCCGCCCGCCGCCTCGGGGGCCGCCGCCGCCGCCTCCTCCTTCCCGCCCTCGGCCGCCGCGGCGGCGCCGCCCTCGCTCTCGGCCCCCTCGCCGGCCTCCTTCTTGTTCTTCTTGAAGGAGAAGCCGCTGAGCTTAAAGGACTTCTTGAAGGAAAAGCGCTTCTTTTTTTTTTTCGGGGTCTCGCTGCTGGACGAGGGGGTCGCGCCCTCCTCAGTCTTGGGGGAGGCCTCGCCCTCCGCCGGGGAGGCCGGCTCGGTGCTCTCCGCCTCGGCCGCCTCCTTCTCGGAGGCGGGCTCCGACGAGGCCGCCTCCTCCTTGCCTGTCTCCTCGGCGGGCGCGCTGCCGTTGGCCTGCACCTCCTCCTTGCCCGCCTCCGCCGCCGCGGGGGAGGCGTCGCCGTTCACCTTCACGTGGCCGTTCTCCTGCAAGACAGCGACGGGCGTTACAGGCGGTGACCGGGGGGGACACACGGGCCGCCGTCGCCCACCGCCCTCCCCGCCCCGGCGGCCTTTCCTCGCCCGTTCTCTGCCTCGGCGGTTTAACCCCCCCCCCACCGCGGGCCCTCCGCCGCCCGGTCCGGGCCGCGGCCACC